TGCATGACCAATGTGATTCTGCAACCTGTACACTCAGAAAAATGAGAAATTATTTCTCATCTGATTCAAATGTATGATATGTCAAGGTCATTGTACTGTCATGTGTAACTAATTAAAACAAATTTTAAAAATCGATTAAATAAAAAAATAAAATAAATTGATGGCAAGGTATTTATTGGCAAAAAAAGATGTCAATATTTTATAGTGGAAGAGAACATAAGACCCATTTTTCCCAGGTTGTTACATGCATCTATCTACGCATAGATGCAAAGGGGGGAAAGTCCATGAAGTTCAATTCACCACAGTGTTAATATCTCTCCTCTCTGTGCTGGGATCATGAGTGACATTTATTTGTTTGTTTGAATGTATTTTCTAATTTTTCTACAATGAACATGAACTGAAAGAAAAGTTTTCTCAGGAAGTACGGGTATCTTCTAAGAAGAAGAAATTTAACAGACCATTCTAAGCCAATATTAGTCCTACTTTGATCACAGGCAGAATACATGATTATGGGATCTTCCAGTTTACTTCTCAGTATTCCAAAAATAACTTACGTCTTTCTCCAAGACAATGCCTTGCTGCTAATTTATTTAACCCATTTTCATTTATATCAGTTGCTTTTACAAACAAAACCATCAAATACAGACTTGAGGTGTTTATTATTCCCACATGACTGTATTATTTTGTGTGTGTGTGTGTGCCAAGCAACTCTAGTAAAATCTGGTCTTCTAATTTTTATTTTTTTAAAAAAAACCTCTGCTTCTAAGGACACTTCTATTTGCTCCTTCTCCATCACCTCCACAATGCCAGGGTATCAATGGATAATCAAAGCCAGGGGATAAATATGCTTTATCTTCCTGGAGCAATTTTACACAGACATAGGAGGCAAAAGATGTCATTTTCACAGTAAAGCAACCATCATATTATGCAGTCAAATTGAAAATTTCCACAAATTTTAAAAACAAAATAGGAAACTTCAAATTTTAAGCATATAAGGCTGGAAGCAGAGCTTTCCCCTCTAGAATTTCCACTCCTTAAGAGTTCTGGGGAGCTGAGTTCCTTTCTGATAAACCTTAAAGGATTCACCAAAGGAAAAGTTTGAAATCTAGGACATTTGCCCCTCTGTTTGCTTATCTATTAGCCATCAATTCTTCCACAGCCTTGGAAATGAGCCCTCACCTCCAGGACTGCACGCTCACAAAAATGTCCTTTATAGAACCATCTTTTGCTCAGGAACTGAATATCCTATACAGAACAATCCACAAGTCATGGTACTCAGTCAGTGGCATCTGAAATATATATAACCCAGAACACAAAAATAGGATAGTAGAATGAATCAGACATTATTACCCTATGTGCATATATGATTACACGACTGGTTTGATTTACATTATGTATAACTAAAAGATTGAGAAGTTGTACTCCATTTAYGTACATGTCAAAATGCAGTCTATTTTCATGTATAGTTAATTAGAACAAATGTTTAAATGTTAACAAGAAAATGGTTATAGGACACAATTTAAAAGCCCACCAATTGCTTAGCAAAAGGTGCTCTGGACAGAGTGAGCATTGAAAGTAGCCCAGTTGAAGTCTACAGTCCCTACCAGGGACAGACCTGATTCTTCCAGGTTCATTTAAAGCCTTAAACTGTATATACTAAAAATGAAATACAAGAGCTAGGCTGTGGCTCAGTGGCAGAGCACTTGCCTAGTATRCATGAGACACTGTTTTCCATTCTCAGTACCACACAAAAATAAACAAATAAAATAAAGGCATTCTGTCCATGTACAACTACAAAAAAATTGTTTTTAAATGAAATATAATAGGAAAAAGATACACTGATGGGTATCTTTCTTACCCCTTATCTTAGACATAAGATAAGATTAGACTAATTTAGACTTAGACTATTGTTATTTGTAGGAAAAGAAAAAGTCCAGCACCCTAAGTCAGTGTTAACATATGCAAAAGAGCACATTTCCATTTAAGCCATTTAAATTGCCCACAACAAAAAGAGTTATAAATTATAAAAATTAATCTAAAATAATGGGAGATTGACCTTTCGGAATAGATAGGTTTGAAGGAAAGAGCCCTAGCGGGTGAAACCAATTTTCCTGGGTGTAGTTTCCATGCTTGATTTTATTATGTTTTTAGCCTTTAAGATATCTCTTAAATGAAGTAAGTCCCTTGACTTGTTTTCCCAATAGCTGTAACAATGGCATCTTTAGCTAGGTGGGAGAATCACTAGAATGGAACATGCTATTTAACAAATTGTACAGCAATATTCAATTATCACTTCAAAGGGTCACTTCAAATATAAGCCATTTTCTCTCCCTATTCCAGTGGCATTTAGATTACTATTTTGTTTGGGGGTCTCTACTATGTCTGATTTGGTTAAAAATCAACCCAGAAGACCAAATCCATCCCGTTTTAAACCAACAGGAAGGCAGATCATAAAATCCCTGCTTTACCAATAGCAATGACTCAGAAAAAGGTGTACTGAATTAATTTACTGGTTTGATTACATATAATATATTTGAGAGGAGCAGAATGGGGATATTGCACTGCAAGAAAGCAGCCTTATCTAACTTCATAGAAAAACATTTACACACTGCCTTAGCTAAGCAGACTACAAGAGTTGAATCAAAAAGCCAAAATAAAACAAAATGTGGGAGCAGTCCTTGATGTAAATCAGGAAAAATAATCAATTTTTATTCAGCACAATGTATTGTGCAAAGGAGGCACTCAATGAATGTTGGGTGACTATAACAGTGACAATACTTTGTCAGTATTTCTCAAAATATGCTCCTTTGATCACCTCCACTAGAAATGCAGTGCTACTCCTTTTGTTTAAGTCAAGAAATATTTGTTAAGTATTCTGGGCACTAGGGATATAATAGTGGGCAGATAAGGCAAAAAATCCTACTTTCTTAGAAACCATTTTCTACTTGGAATAGAGAAAAGCCAGACAATTGATCAGCAAAATATAAAGTGTGTTAGTGGTCAATGCTTATGAGAAAAAAAATAAAGCACAAAGTGGGTATGAAATATAGTAAGGGTGGGGTGACCAGGGAAGTACTCTTGGGAAGGGGAGTTTAGAGTAAAGCTGGTGAAAGTAGAAAGTCATGTAGAWAACTAAGGGCAGAGCATACTAAACAATGCTGATAGCATGTACAGAGTTTCTGAGTTCAGAATATCAAGGAATGACAAAGAGGTCAATGTGGCTTGGCAAAAGGAGATGAGAGAAACAAGGGTGCAGACCATGGAAGTCCTTGTAGGTCACAGTATAGAGTTTCATTTATGTACAGAAATGGGGAGGTTAGGGTTTTGAGCAGAAGAGTGGCATGGTCTGACTTAGGTCGTTTTTTTCTTTTTTGGCTTTGCTGGTTTATTTTTATTTATTTTTTTATTGGTTGTTCAAAACATTACATAGCTCTTRACTTAGGTTTTAACAGGCTTTCCTTGGCTTCTCTGTGGAGAGAAGAAAGCAGGTGAGGAAGGGCAGAAGCAGGAAGAGGAGCTACTTGTTTTAAAAGGCAGAGTTTGAAATTTCTGTTTTTAACAAGGCCCCTAAGTGATTCTTAGGCACAGTAAAATTTAAGAACTGAGACGTTATCTAAGCAATTGAAAAAAACTTGATTTTACCATCTGATTATTTGAAAAATCACCATCCATTGCATCACTGTGCCTGTAGAGAAACTAGCTGTAAATCATCTGGACTAAATTCAGCTACCAACCTATCAATTTGGTTACACAGTCTCCAACCAGTGTTTCAGGAAGATAACTTCATAAGAATCTTGGCCCCCTATTCTGTGACACAGGACACCTTCTGAGAGAGGAGACTCCTCTCCTTCCTCTACAGAGAAGAAGATTARAACTAATGGAATCACTCCATGGTGATGTACTTTATAAGGTAAGGTATTCCTTAAGGGCAGGCATTCCATAAGCAGGATAACTTTCAGTGTTCAGCTAAAAATCATATGAGCAGGGCCTTTCTCCGTTTTTTTAAATAAAGATTTTCCTTTTCTTTTAAACAGAAGCAAGTAAGCACTGTGTGTCATTCTAAATATGTATATAGATTCTAAACTTATATTCTAATTTGTCATATTCTCTATGTATCCTAAATATATATTCTATACTTTATATTCTAAATATATTCATGTCAAAATAGAATTTATGACTAGTTCTTTTTAATGCACTAATAAACACTTGTTTTCACAAAATTTTAACAATTCTTTCTGATTATCATRATGATAACAACTATGATTTGTACAGCACTTTATAGTTGAGAGACTAATGAGATGCTACTCTATAAACCATACATAAAAATTTCTTTCTACTTTATAGTCACATTGTACTCACATACACACACCTTATACATTAACTAGTTTGTAATATATTCAATAACAGAGAACTAAAATTGTATTCTAATTTTGAAATTATTTTATATACCTATTTTTTATAGCTCCTCCAAATTTTGCACACAAGTAAATTCTTAACCACMCACGGACTAACCAATCTAAAGCAATACAACACTGAGAATCAACTATCAGATATTTTGTTCTTYTAATTACTTGACTTCATTAAAAAACAAAATTTAAAAATTTCAAGAGGCTTTACCTTAATAACTGAAAAAGACATAAATATGTTAAAGTGGATTTACTAGAACAACGATTTACTGTTCATAAGAACATTTATATCCTGCTGCTACTTTTCCTTGAGAACAATTTCCTTGAGGTATCTCATCATTAAGGTCTGATTCAGGGTAAATTTTACAAAGATACATAATAAACTAGATTTTTAAAAAGGCATTCATTGTTAACAGTATGATAGGTTACCTAGGCACAGTTAGCATTTTGGATAGARCACAGGTAATTGATTACAATTAATGGATGCTGATTACCTTCTTGAGCGGAAGAAGCCTCTAGGTGATGAAGTTTAAGGCCAGTGTCTAATCTTTGAGGTTTTGTATACAGAAATAAATAGCAAAGGACACAGACGCTGACGACAAAGGCAAGTAAAACAAGGGCAGCAATCCCCAATCCAATCAGAGCACCAATGCTGAGAAAAACAGAAAAACCATGTCACACAGGCTGGTATGCACACAAATTATGGAGCAGGGTTAAACAAGTTGGTTCACATTTTCGATCATTCATAACCAAATTATACCTTCACATAAACAGTAAATGACTGAAATCTGTACTTCACTTTTTTCTACCAACATGTTATTATTACATCTTCTTTACATGTTTTCAAGGCCCTTTTRAATGTATTTGTAAGTAGGGAAAACTGTGTGAATTCATGATATAGGTATAAGTTCACATGATCCCTAGATAACTTTAAAAAATCTCAAATAAACATCTCCAATTACCATCTTTTAGAAAGAAATATCAGGCTAACCAATAAAAGATGAATAGAAAATATATTTGCTTCTGTGAAAGTCATGAAGTTTTTTATTCCTAAATATAAAACATATATTTTATGTTTTATATTTAGGAACATTTTTATTTTATATATAGGAACATAAAGCTTTTCTTTTGGAGACATATTTGAGATACCACTTATTGATATAAAGAACCATAATTGTTATAAAAGAGAAAAAGCTTTGAATGAAAGAAAATCAGTGTTCACAAACTGTTTATTCTATCTTCAGTCTGAATTTTTCCTGTCTAGAAGGGCCTAATACTATGCCCTTTAGCACCTAGAAAAAAAAAAAAAAAGCTCTTGTACTTTTCTCCAAAAATGATATATATTCAATCATATTTTCTCTGCAGTAAATTTGCAATGATTCCTTTTATGCAGTTACCCATAAAGCTAACCATTTCAAAAGTAATTTAGTCTTCATGAACCTGTGAACTTAGCTCTATTAAATTAAAATAGGAGCTTWAAAAAAGCATCATTTGAATGACTACCATTCAAACATATGCTTCTCGAACCACATATGTGTGTGTGCATATCTATAATTGGATWTTTAAAATATTTTTAGTTATAGATGGACACAATACTTTTATTTTRTTTATTTATTTTCATGTGGTGCTCACACATGCTAAGCAAGCACTCTACCACTGAGCCACAACCCCAGKCCCTACAATTGGATTTTAAGCTGCTCAAGAGCAGACATTTCAGTTGACTTTTTCACAGTGCTGTAAACACTTATTAAGTGCTTARCTTATAGAACATATTCAAAGAATGAAAATAGGTAATAACTGACTGCTGACTGATCAATCTGTAGTAATATGGAACATACATCACTGAAAATYACAACCGTTTTCATTATCTTCTTGGCTTGCCTTAAGGCTTCCGCTGTCTCCCAGAGATTAGAGGCCTAACAAGCCTAACAAAAGGGAGGGAAAGGGAATTTGATGAGAAATGCCAGAAGCATCATTGTTTTGGGATAAAGGAGAATAGTATTGAAGGAGAAGGGCTAAGGACACTCTACTTACTCTTGATTGAGGAGATAAATCATCCTTGCAAATAAGGAATCACCTTCTGAACTACAACATGGAGTCAGACTTCCAGAGATTCTTGTGCTTGATTTATTAATATTGGCCCAGTTTCAATAGCCCTGCACCTAAGTGAAGACTGGATAATTTTATGGCTGAGGAAGTATAGAGTTATATATTTAAACTTGGGGATTGCCCTCATTTGGTGCACTTTCCTCTAAATGGATAGATTCTCTGTGTGTGGCAGCTCTTCATATTTGCACCAAAGCTGACTTGTACATTCTAAGTGTCAGGGTGGGTTAGAATCTCTCTGCTCTATACAAACACATGGAAATGTAATCCACTTAATATTATTTGGTGAACAAGGCCCAYAGGAGATTAGACATCTATACAGATTCCTGAAATGAGAACCAGTTATTTAAAAAGTCTTCAAAGTGAGTGATTCAGTCAATTAAAAAGTAAAATTGTCAATTTAAATAAAGACAACATCTATTTTATGAACTTGTCATGTACACATTTTAAAAATAGGCCATGAAATTTGAAGGAAAGATAAAAAGAAAACATCCATTTCTGCTTTTTGGTATAAAAGCTGTTCTTCATAATCTTGAAAATGTCTCAAGCTGAAAATGTCACAGCTCCAGGCTATAAAAGCATTGCTTTATGTRTGCAAAACTCTAGTTTAAACTCTGGGTAGAGATGGAGCTGTAAGAGTCTCCTAAATATACATTTCAACAAATGCTTAAATCCATTTATGCATAGCCCTGTCCAATAGGCACTATCTTTCTGGGTCCTAGAGAAAGTATCAAAGGAAATCCTAAGAACTTAGGGATTTTTAGGGGGAGAGAAAATAGGAGTGGGCTACACATGGGAAGAGAGAATGATCCTTTCCTCACAGCACCAGGTAACAGTTGTTTTTTAAGCCCTCAGAGAACATTGGAAGCTGCTTTCACATTATTGTAGCAATGTTCCTACTAAGCGATTGCAGATACCCTGTGGGAACTACCACTGTGTGAGTCTCTCTCCAGCAAATGCAGAATCTCAATACAAGGGCTAGTGACCTCTGGATTATTTTTCACAGTTGAACTATTTTAAATTAGAAGTGAAAAGCAAAGACTAGGAGGGAAATGAAGCTCTAATAAATTTACCTCCCCATTGTGTTCTCAGAGCTCAATAACTCACAAGAACTCCAGGTTTAACATTGCCAGCTGATGCCATCAAAGTAATTTTTCTGTTTCTCAGGAACTGAGTTGTACTGCCCATTATGCCAGTGCTGAATGAAGCCCCCGCAAGTCGTTCACTCTTTTGTTTCCTCATGAATCTTAGAAAGGTTTTATATTTTCTGCTGCTTGTCACTATTGGAACTATTTAGGGATCTGAGAATCTCAGGCACAGTTTCCAATTGAGTTTGACTTAGGCATTGCCAGTCTTTGTTGGAAATGCTCTGCTGTTATTAACACCTTCAAAGACTCAGAGATGGATTACTGCTATTTTCCAAAAGGCCAAGTAATATGCCAGTGCCATACAGATTCCTTCCTCAAGCTAAGCATAAGCTGGCATTTTCTGCTGTTTTGCCTCACTCCAGTACAACTTTGTGAGTACAACTTGTAAGCAGGCACTCCTTTTGAGAGTTTTTCAAAATTTTCAATATAGAAAAAAATTATTTTATTATTTCAAGAAATAACGTTTAGTCATCTATTGTGGACTCAGGATCATGCTATGAGACTGGGAGAAATAATACTGTAACTCTCCTAGCAAACAGAATCTCTCTCTCTCTCTCTCTCTCTCATTCTCTCTCTCTCTCTCTCTCTCTCTCTCTCTCTCTCTCTCTCTCTCTCTACACACACACACACACACACACACACACACACACACACACACCTCCCTCCAGACCTCCTTGCCCATACATTAATTAAATTAACCAATTAGTTTGAAAGAAACAGCTCAAGGTGGGAGGGGATTCTTTCCTACAATCTTGGAACCCCATTACTCTCCAGGCAAAATCAAAGAATCAAGTTCAATTTCAAACTTTTAGAATGGGGACACTTGCACAATGAAAATGTCTGTGTAAATACTAGTCGAAATAAGTAAAATTCCCATCATAGGAAAAACAAGACTGCCTCGAAAGGCTCTTCACTTTTCTGCAATGGTCAAATGACTTAGGTGTTGGGGAAAAAGGGTGCCCTTGGAGGGTTACTCAGGGGGTGTAATCAGAGCAAGGAAAGGCTCTACCTTTCCCTGGGAATCTCTTCAATTTGGTTTGCAAGGTCAGTATCAGATCCTCTGAAAAGAGCAAGTTATGAAGCCCAGTCGCCTTCCTATACACACACACACACACACACACACACACACACACACATATTTTTTAACGTTTGAAGGAACAAAACCAATTCTTCACCGCCCTCCAAAGAGACTATAAATATTCTGGTCCTTGGTTAATCCATTAAAAGGAGACCCACAGGTGACTCCTTTGTGTTTAAATGAATCAAATGAACAAATCAAAGAGGAATTAAAACCTTCACCCTAACTTATCTATTTGACCTCTCCTCCTATCCAAGACCGGACCCTGGCCAGAGGTCCCGCAAGGCAGACAGGAAACCGAGCCTGATCAGTCCTGGCGGGTCTCGGGTGCGCCCCGGACCCAGAGTCCGCCCTCCTCGGCTCCTGGCTCCTGGCGGAGTTCTGAGCCCCGGCGAGGTTTCTCTCCTGGGCCTCTCAAACCCTTTGGAGGCTCCGCATGCTTCCAAGGGACCTGACCAGGACCGGTGGAGGAGTCCAGGTGAACTGCCCTGCCCTGCCCAGCCCAGCCCAGCCCACCTGAGGCTCCACATGTAGCTGTGCTTGTAGGGGAAGTAGCTGCCCGGCTCGCTGCAGCAGTACTTGAGGTCCGCGAAGCCGCAGCAGTAGAGAAGCGCGGCCCCCTCGCCGCGCCGGGGGCACTGGAAGGACTCCACGAAGGTATGGTTGAGGCTGTAGTAGCCGGAGCACAGCCGGCTGGTCTCACTCATCGCGGGCGACTGTCTGCACCGCCAAGCGATGCGCCCTCGGACTGAGCGCGTGCTGTCCCTGGCGCCCGCGGGCCCCTCCGCGCAGCTGGTCTCTTCTGATCTGGGGTCTAGCTGCCTGGATGCTCAGCCTCCGCGCGCCCCTTCTGCTCTCTTTCGGTCCACGCGCTTTACTTTCGCCTCAGCCTCTCGCTACTGAGTGGTCCTTTTATCTGCCGGTCTCAGCTCTAGACCTCTTCGCCTGCTCCTTTCGACTCTTGTTGCGCTCTGCTGCTTCCCCTCTACTTTCCCTCACTCCATCAAGAGCCTGGAGACGAGCTGTCCCCGCTCTGTGCCAGAGAGCTCTCATAGGAAGAAAAAGTGGGAGAGTTGAACATGTTTGCAAWTCTGGGCAGATGCTGCTGAAGTCGCAGTTCTGTTTGCCCAGGGACTGGGCAGATGGATTCGGGCAAATAGAGCTGAGCATTTGCCTCCAGGGCCATTGACTCCAGGAGTGGGGGAATGGATCAAATAAAAGGCAGCTGAACTGCTAGTGAGGGTGGTGAGTGATTTCCTTCTTTGAAAAGTACACGTGAAATATTTAAAATTTTAAAGTCAAAAACAAGAAAAAAAATTCTCCAAAAACTAGCCTTRAGGGGCTAGGGTTGTGGCTCAGTGGTAGAGCCCTCGCCTCACACGTGCGAGGTCCTGGTTTCCATCCTCAGCACCAGATAAAAATAAATAAGTGAAATAAAGATGTTGTGTCCAACTACAACTCAAAAATAAAATATTTTTTTAAAAAAACTAGCCATGTGTTTTAAAAACATAATACTGTTGCTCTTTTTCCAGATAAACAACATGAAAAGGAAGGAAGAGATGGAGATAAAGAAAATGAAAACTTTTTCCCACCATTTTTTATTGATACATTATAGTATACATAATGTTGGGATTCATTGTTACATATTCGTAGGTGCACACAAAGTCACAATATAATTTGCTCATTCCCCAGCATTTCCCTTTCCCTCCCCTCCTTGCTCCCTCTTGTCTCAGAAAGCAAGAACTTTCYACAAAGGGTGGCAGAAAAGGAGAGAGACAGAGGAAATAGGAAGAACAAGACCTTCTTCAGTCAGTGTTGAAGGGTTGCAGAAAGGGCTCTTGTCCCCTTCCTGCTTGGTATTCTCATTTTCCTAATTGGCTTATTCACAGTCTTTTAAAATAATAGCGAGTCCGTGCTTACTTAAAATGCCAAATAATACATAGGGGTATGTAGGAGAAAATAATAATAGCCTTATGATGGGAGGGCAGGAGGTGCTAACACTCAGAGTTTATAGATAGAGCATTGTTTCCTTCTCCTCTTCTTTGCTTCCTTCCCTTGGCCAGGAGTTTGATTGAGTGATGACATCTTGAACTTTACCTTGTTGTGAACAGGATATTTTTATATTCCTATATATATTCTAGAAATCTGCTCTGCAATACAGTTACTTGGAAACAGATTGATTCTTTCAGGTGTGCTTTTAAGCTTTGTTAGGCAGGAATAGAACCGTCTTTAGGACTAAATTCTCCCCCACTACTGAGTCCATATACTTCTGAGTACTCTACCCAATATTCCAGCCCTGTGACAGTGCTGAGGCTTGTACCCTCTGTTCCTTTCAGGTCTTTCTTTACCTGGCCAGAAGCAGTTTTCTCCCAGGCATGCACTGATCAGTACTCAAAGACTCTGGTGATCTCCAAAGCTAGTGCACATATGTGCATTCTCTCCTCTCTCTCCTCCCCTCCCTCCCTCCCTACCTCAGTTTTCTCTTCTCTGGCACTGGGTCCTGCCCCCTCTTCCTCTATGGCTTCCCTGGTCTCCCAGCTCTGCCTTCTCAATTTAGGGAGCCCACCTGGCTCTACCTGGGTTTCCCCTCCCTGCAGTACAGCCTGCAAACTCTCCAGACAGGGAGTAGGTGTCCCTGTCCTGCACTGCCTGATWACCATGTCCAGAATCCATTGTGTCATACATTTTGATTATTTACTTGTCTCAGTGCTGAACTCATCTGGGGAATTAGACCTGATCCAAGCTGGGTCAGGTAGGGTTTCTCTCCTGGAACTAGAATTCCATTATGTTGACAGGAGGCCACAAGAAGCTAATGTACAGGAAAGAGAAAAATGAAGCAAAGGGGAGCAGAAAAGAAGGGCTGAAAGGTGGTCTTGCAATTTTTGTTCTTCTTTTCCAAGGACCATRGCATACCTACCCTGGAATTCTTGAGACGCCTGTTACCTAAAAGAAAAATCGCCCTTTCTGGTGAAAGTGCATTCAAGGTGGTTTCTACTATGGCTGTGTACCTCATAACTGCATCTTGGATAACAATGGGCCACATATACAACAGTTCTATAGGATATTTCCTAGTGACCTTATAGCTGGTTTAGTTTCCATAAGTATACTCTTAAGATGTTCACTCAATGGCTAAATCACCTAACAGTGACTTTTTTTCAGAATGTGTCCTTGATAGATGATGCTTGTCTATTCTTGCAAACCAAAGAGCCTCAGGCAAAATATCTATAGGGAAAAGTGGGGAGAAAAGGCAACTGAAGAAAAACTGAAGTTCTTTAATTAATGAACACTTCCCTTGGAAGGGAGATAAATAGAACAAGAAAAAAAGAAATTTAGAGATAAGAAAGAAAGTGATCTGGGACAATATTGATTGTCACAATAAAGCATGTAAAGTGTTCTATGGAGCCTGAGTCAACAGGACAGAATGTGGGAACAAGGTTGGGTAGCAGGCAGAATGGAATGAAAAGAGTAGGTACCTTGGTGAAGGCCCAGTTTTAGTGAGAAGCCATGTGTTTCCAGCAGAACTTCTCCAACAATGAGCATTCAACCATTGAGGCACAGAAGCGAGTCTTAAAAGCAGTGTAAAGATTGGCTTTCAATCGTTCAGAAAATGCCTCACCTCTGGCTTGCTTGCTTTGTGGCTGTAGCCCTCGGCCTCCTCTGGTAGGAGGAGTTCTGACAGGGAGTGGGGTGTGACTGGTCCAACAACCAAAAGATAGCCTTCCATTATATCTTTCATTTTCTCCTTTTATTTAAGCGATTATCAGCAAAGGTTCCCCTTTAGGGAATATTTTGGAAATGAGATGTTTTGGGGTGTTGCTCTAATAGGATACTCTAGTAGCACTGAGGGATGTGGGCCAGGATTGCTAGACAGCTTGACATCTTGCAAAATGAACTGTCTGTGACTTTTCAAATGCTCTACAAGACACTCATGTAGGTGAAAAACCTATCTATAATTATTTTTGACTAGAACCTATCTGTGTGTTCCAAATAAATACAATGTATTTCTTGAATTTTCCAGGAATGCAACTACCATGTAAATTGAAGGAAGATTGTTCTTTGTTTTGCTTGGAACTTTACCAAGAGCTGTTCACTCTTTCAGAAAATCCTGTGCCAAAAGCAATATTGCTAAAGGTTTTGTATTTGTGTTGCTAGAGTCATACACTGTGCCAGCCTGCATTTGTACTGTCACTCCAAAGTAATTTATAGCTGTTGCATGCAGAGTATGATTGGTGTAAGAATGATGATTTTTGCTGTATTGTGCTTGAGCATTTATGTATAGAAATACATATTTTATTGCAAATGAAGTATCACTTATTTTGTCTTTATAATACACTAAGCCTACATATACACMAATATACATATAATTAATATATTCATTTTCTAGGGCTGCTGTAATAAAGTACCACAGACCAGAACAGCCTTGAACAGAAATCTCTTTCTCACAGTTCTGGAGGGTAGGGATCTGAGATCAAAGTGGCAGAGGGGTTCCTTCTGAGCCCTGTGAGGGAGAATCTGTTCTACGCCTGTCTTCTTAGCTTGCAGATGGGTCTTCTTCTTGTATGTGTCTGTGTCCACCTGTTACATTGGATTAAGCTCACACTAATGATCTCATTTTAACTTAAATGCCTCCTTAGAGGCCCATCTCCAAATACAGGTGCATTCTGAGATAGTGGGGGTTAGGATCTCAACATGTAAACTTCTTAGGGGGGAAAAAATTAAACCCATAACAATTATGGAAGGTAAGACACATCATCCCTACATATAAATTTTATTTCAAGATAGCAAAAGGAGAAATTAGAAGTACTTCTTATCAAATGGGGACATTGAGTCRGACAGGACTGAGAATTGCTGGTACAATTTCTCGTTCAGACAGTAGTAAATAGTGTGCCCCATAGGTGAATGCTGCTCCTTAATTCTAATTGATAGAACAAGTGGCCAGAGAGTAGGACTAAGAAAGTACATAAAAGGATATAAGAAGTCCAACAAAGTCAACTTGGCTGTAGAAATAGTGAAGAGGCCAGATGAGTGTTTTGCTCAAAAATCTTCCGCAGATCCTTATTTCTAAAAGCACATGTAATCAATGCTACTCTATTTTTCTAACTTAATTTCTCTCTTGATCATCTCTAATGTGCTCTCAGACTGCTGTTGTCACTGATGTCTGTGTGCCAGCTATAAAAATTAGTCTTCTTCCTGTCCCCCAAATATCTGAATRTTTGTTTTTCTATCTAAGGAATGCTATGACTTCCTTCTGTCTCTATATCTCATCCAGTTCTCAATGCCCAGTTCCAGGATTTTCTCACCAAAACTGATAGAATTGAGTGAGCAGTTGTGGAAAGAGTAAGATCTTGAAAAGACAACACAGAAAGGCCAAGAGGAAAGAAGGATTGTGAGAGAGCTGAAGTTCTGGTTTACAAGTCATCTGGCAACAGAACATATGAATAAAATTCATGACAGTAAAAGAAAGATTACAAAMGGAGAAGAGAGAAACTGGATGAGAAGGGTGCTGATTAATTCTTTTTTTTCGGTGGGGGGCATATCTGGGATTGAAGTAGGGTACTTGACCACTGAGCCACACCCCTACCCCTATTTGGTATTCTATTTAGAGACAGGGTCTCAACTGAGTTACTAAGAGCCTCGCTTTTCCTGAGACTGGCTTTGAACTCGCAATCCTCCTGCCTCAGCCTCCCGAGCTGCTGTGATTATGGGT